CGGGCGCGGTCGGCAGCGGCGAGCGGGGAGCGGGCCCGCGGGGGCCGGATCTGGGCCCGGCGAGCCTCGGCGGCGCGCGGAACGGCGGCGGACAGGTGGCGCGCCCTCACTGGCGCGGGCGGCGGCGCGAAATGTCCGACGGGCGGCGGACATGTCCGGTGGCGGCGGGGAAGTTTGATCTAGGGTTTTTGGACCCGAAATTTCGGAGGAGTGCACATATTTATAGGTAGGAGGTAGGAGTGTCCAAATGGAGTGTAGTTTTCGCCCACACGATCGTGATCTGACGACGGAGGACATGGAAGGGGTTTGGAAGGGTTATTGGGCCGTTTCGGAGGGGTGTTGGGCTGCAACACACATGAGGCCTTCGCGGTTACCCGGTTAACCGTTGGAGTATCAAACGGACTTCAAATGGCACGAAATTTGGCAGGCGGTCTACCGGTGGTGTACCAAGTCCACTTGGCAAATCTCGGTACATTCCGAGAATGTTTAACACCCGCTCACGAAAAGAGACAAAAGGGGTACGCCGGTGCACGTAGGAGTGTCGGATTGCAAAACGGACAACAGGAAAAAAAACTCGGATGCATGAGACGAACACGTATGCAAAAGAGATGCACATGATGACATGATATGAAATGCATGACATGAACAAAATGCAAAATAAAGACAAAACCCAACCATAAAGGGAATCTCATAACTTAGAGCCGAAAATGGCAAGAGTCGAGTACAAATATGGCAAGTTACATCCGGGGTGTTACACATGTAGTGTTGCACTTGCAATGATGGACCAGAAGGAAAACATCTGAAGATGACAACCTATATTGATTTTTTATCCGATCGAACAAGTGTTCTTTTTCTGTAAAGTTACTACATGATCTATTAAACTCTATCTATTAGTAAATCATGGTAGTACGGACACATGCAATATTTAATCAGTTACATTTTGATAAATATTCTTGTTGCCTGTACATTCTTGGCTTGCAGGAACAGAACGTGAACTGGTTTGATTTTTTAAAATTCAATTCAGTTTGATAGTTGTGATTTTCGATTCTGATCGTGTACCACATGCGATCCTTTTTCAAACCTGCTCTGCTCCCATTTAAGGAAAAAGAATTTCAACATTTGTTTTGTTTGGTAGGTTTATACTCCAGTGGAATCATTGAGATCATACGAGGATAAGTAGAAAAAGGACGCCATAACATATTTGGGTCCAGTGGTAAATATTGAAGTACAAATTTTATCCAACTGTGATAATAGTTTTAATCTTAGCATTAGGGGCAACAATTCCAACTTCTGTTAGGGATTTCCAAACACTGATTTTGTGTATTCTGTCCCACAAAAAGATAATTGATTGTGCTTTTTTAGCCTTCCATTTGGGGGGGGGGGGGTATAGTTCTTTTATTTTCAGAATATGAATTCACAATTTATACTCGCACAAATTCCATGTGCATTGGTTGTGACATGTACTGATAATTTGTGCTAGAATGTAGGTTTCTTAGGAAAGAGCTTCATTTTACCGTATTAGAGTCGATGCAAGTACCTTTCCATTGGGGATGGCTTAACGCCACTACCGAAGTACCATCTTATTGAAGTAAATTGTAGAGTATATCATGGTGAAGGGGTTTGGGGATCCCAAAATTAAATCTGGCTGTATGTACATGCCACTTTTATGCATACAACAAGCTATATATGAAGTTTTTCTATTAATGTTATATAATTTAAATTTATTTTACTTTTTTCCTCTGATGCAATTTTACAATGATCTCCTAGGAGCAGTTAAATTAGCCTAACAAATAATGTATGAATACACTTAAGCACTTGTTTCGTAATTTACTTTGTTGCAACCTCAGCATTTTTATTTTATTTAAGAATTGGTCCCCAAGTAGACCGCTAATAATTTCATCTGATTTTAGATCATTTTTTATTTTTAGGGTCCATAATTAATAAGATGATTTGACACCAAATTGGGATTAATTTATTTACAATGTGATTGGGAGGAAGATGAGAATATGTATGCCCCGGTGTTGCAGCGCACATGATTTCAAAAGTCCGTGGCAACGCACGGGCATTCTACTAGTACACTTAGAGGTCCAAGACAGGAGGTAGAATTCGACCTGAAGCTGCTACGAAAACGGACGTTTATTTTAGACTAAACCACGAACTGAAATTACAAAGTACACGTGTCAAAAACTGACTGGACAAAAAAAAGACCTAAACCAAATGAAAAATCACAAGTCTGATAACTAGACACTCCCAACAACAACGTATCCCTCCCTTAGAAGTTGAGATATCTCAAAAAAAAAAGCACTGGCCATGAAGGCTTTCCCATCATAAAAAAAGGGAAAAAAAAGAAAAGAAGATTACGTGATGAGAAGTCACGAGGAGGTTAGCTGTTTCTTTTGGACACTTTCTGTATAGTGGTTAGATTTTGATATGACAAAAGGTCCTCGGGTCTAAAATGGAATGTTTTTAATTGAGGACCGGAGAAAGGTTATCAGTTGTGTTAAGTGGATGCTATGCCCCCGTAGCAAGCATGTTCTTTTACCCGAACTGGACTGCCCACGCGCACTCCAGTTACAATCAACAAATTTCGTCCCTATGGCACTACCATTTCCTTACAAAGAGAAAACAATCGTCACCTTGTTAGAAAAATGAGAGGTAGGAAAGAACAGCGATGTAAGCTATGTATGTAGTAAGAAGAGGTGCTCTATATGTTAAACTTACCACTCCCGTTTGTCTCGATGCAACCAAAGTCATAAAGCGAAGAACACCGACGGCGGTAGCTCGCCTTTAAAAAGACCTCGCTTCTCAGACGCATCTATCTATCTATCTATCGCCTTTAAAAAGACGTCGCTTCTCACCGACGGCGATATCTCCCGCCCGCCGCGGCCTTGTAACGATGCAGAGGATCGATACAAAGGAGATATTCGGGATCGAGATCCAATTTCAGGTTGCCTGGTGGAGAAGAAGGTGAGGTAGTACAGAGAAAGGAGGGAGAAGACAGAGTTCACACTTGACACACAACATCGGTGCCTCGCACCCACGTATACAGCCGACCACTCCTGCGCAGTGGGCCCTACCTAGTCCAGCCACTCCCAGTGTCCACCTACACCAGGGGAATGGAGGTGTGACAGGCCTCGCCGCCCCACGCCCGCCGCGGCCTTCCCGCGCACGGCACCCGGCTCTCGCTCGCACGCCCCGCCACCGGCCGCCGCTCCCCATCAGGCCCTCGCTGGATCGCCCAAGCCTCGCATCCTCCTCGCGTTGACGCACGCAGCCGCGGCTACCCCAGGCCCAGGTCAGTGAGTCCGCGTCAGAGCTTCTTCCTTGGCCGTGCTTTCCTTGATCCCGCTGCTCGTTTCGCTTGATTCTTGTTTCCTTGGCAATGCGCGCCCGGGGCCAGGAGAGCACCCCCTCTTAATTTTCTCAGAATTCTTCCCTCCTTGTCCTTGAGATGGACCATGGAATCGTCCGGAAGCTATCTTATGTGACGGGCTTGATTGATTGCGAAATACTAGTACTAGTTTTAGAGCCTAATAAACACTTCACTGATTGCTCTTTTGCCACTTGTATGGTGGTACGTATTGTAGAGCACAACAGCAAGAGTGGAAGACCAATCCGTTCCTTTTCCCTCTACTAAGATGCAGCATCTTAATCTCCATTCTACTACTGTACTCGAATTTGACTAGTTATACAGACCCAGTTAAGCATCGTCCGTCCGTCCGTTCGCTTGTTGTGGACCTGTGATATTCAGCTAGCTTTGTTTTGATGCTTCATTTTGTGCCCTTTCCCTACATATTTCCTGCTCCCATTCCTTGATTCGAATCATCTAGCCACATCTTAATCTCGTGTTTAGTTTGTGAAATATTTCAGGGACTACAAGAATAGACAATCCAACATGGCGGCGACCACAACAGCTGTCAGTGAGATCTCCATTGAGATGGCACCTATCGTTTCTGAACCTGCATGCATCCGCCACACGCCAGAGCAGAAGCAGGGGCAGGGGAGGAGAAGATGTGGCTCTGCCTAATACAGAGAGGAAGCCGAACATACTACTACGTTGTGCCGCCTTCCTGGAATGGGTGGGCAACGCCTGCGGTGCCCTGTCCTTCATGTGGGCCACAGTTGTAATGCTTGGGGGTTTCTGCACCCTGCTCGAACCAACCGATTTCTGGTCTACAACAGCTATAATATTTATTGAAGCTTTCAGGTAACAAACCCTCTTCCCTAACGCTCATTTCCTAGTTTACTTACTCAATTACATCACCTGAAGTTGACCTATGGGATATACCACTACAACTGTGTGATATGACAGATTTTTCACTCGAGATAACCGTTTGGAGAATCACCCGTTGTTTGGAACTAATGCAGCTATTAAAAAGCTAACATCTCACAGTGTGTTAAAGGATGAAAAACATACATTTTATGCGGTATTGGCAGTTGTCAGCTTATGTGACAGGATACTTTTTGTTTGTCCGAGAAATGTCAAGGGCATCGCTCTCATTGTAATGGCAGCTTCCGGGGTTCTGATTGGCAATCTGCCTTTTGCCGTGCAGACAATCCTGCAACATCATCTGTGGCTCTTCTTAAGCTCTCTGCTTGTCATTCTACTCACCCTCTCCGCCCAATTGATCAGAAAATTCTGGATCCGTGGTAAGTCTCAAGGATCTCAACTTGCAGTTGTACTAGTGCACACTGCAGTGCTGTTACTCATGGTCATAGTGCAGAGCATATCCGTTTACATTCTTGTATGCAAACCGCCACGGGTTAGGCAGATAATAAGCAAGTGGATTAAAGTGTTATACCTTGTTAAGGTGGTGCTGGGCTTAGCCTTGATAGTGGGGATGTTTTCTCTCTTCCTGCCTTCTGTTGACTGGTTCGTCTATGGTAATTTAGTGAAGATGATGGTAACCCTGATCTTCGCACTAAGCACCATTCCGAGCCCAAACAATGAAACTGCGTACTATTGGATGGACGTCGGCTTGTGCATATCAATGGCAATCAGCTGGGTTTTCTGCATCGAGTCTGCAGTTTTTAACCCAGGGGTGCTGCTTGTTATACTTATCTGTGGTAACCTGCAGCTCCCGGCAGCAATAGCGCGTATGCTGCTATCAGCCATGAGGCTTCAAGATCAGCAGCTTGTTAAATCGTATCCCACTCCAGGAAGCAAAAATTTATTGCCTACGCTACATCTTTTTTACTGGTTTGTGATCTTCCAAGGCACATTCTATTTGTGTGCTTGCATTATCAACTTTTATGGGGCTAAACTGCAGTTGCACAATGAAAAGGGCTTGGGGGATGTTCAAAAGGAAGAAGCAGCATTTGGCCCTCAAACCATTCTGGACACTTATGGGACTAGACTGCAGTTGCACAATGAAAAGGGTTTGGGGGATGTTCAAACAGAAGAAGAAGCATTTGTCTCTCAAACCATTCCAGACGGTTCTATAGCAATTAGCATAAGATCTGACGAGGAACAATCAAACACCAATCCAGTTAACTGCATACTGGTCGGGACACTCCCTGTCCCCCTATAAGGTAAAATTGAGTTGTCGCTTAAATACTGAATTATTTTTCATGCTTTCAGAGCCGGTGACTTGCTAATTCCCCCTGTTGTCTAATTTCTGGGCACATTAGCCTATACCTGAACAAAAGTAGTACATACGGTATTAGCCTATAACTGTACTTTTTATGATTGTAGATGAAAATTTGACAGAATAATTTGGGAAAAGCTCAGGTGGAGCATGTTCAGACGGCGGATGAACTTCCGGCGAATTCGGCGGTGGTGACATTGTCCAGCACATAGTTGCAGCATATTCACCCCAGATTTGTTGAGTCTCGAGACATTGTAGAAATAATACAGATTTTATGTCAAACTAAAATCCTAGAATGTCCCTTACAATGTTGGGACGACCGACGCACCTGTATAAGATATAGAATATAAGATGCCGAGAAGAATTTATCTGACAACCTGCAGAAAACTACAAAATGTGAAGCCTAAATATATCAGTGTAGGAGACAATTGAAAGAAAGAATCAGATACGTGTTGGAAATATGAGCAAATTACTACGATATTTAATCCGAATAAACAGAAGATAAATCATGACTACAATAGCAGAGATTAAACTAGTCATGCAAACTAGCATAGCAGATGAACAGATCACATCTAGAGCACATACTAGAAACATGAATTCTACCATGATCTCGAACAGGAAGGATAGAATCACATACGGTGCAGCGGGAGCAGCACCACCGGCGTTGACGTTGTCGCCCATGTCGTCGAGGATGAGGTTGCCGAGGTCGAGGAAGAAGTCGTCGCTGCCAGCAGTCGCGCGAGTGCGCTCCCCAAAAACCTGATCGCCCCTCTCCCGTACAGGATCACGAGAGGCGGGGTTCCGGAGGCTGTTGTCCCTTCTGTCGGTGCACGCCAAAAGAAGGGATGGAGAAGACTTGTTTGGCGGCGCAATGATCTGGAATGAGAAACCATACGAACTCTGGCTGACTATATAGTGCGGGTCGGGCAGGTCGTGGGAGTAAACCCCACGTCCCAGTCGTCAGACGTCTGCCTGACTATATAGTGCGGGCTGGGCAGGTCGTGGGAGTAAACCCCGCGTCCCAGGCGTCACGATCCAAAAGAATCGGAAGCAAAAATATAGACAACGTGCATAGCTCTGTCCTCGGCTCAGCTCAATCCCGCAACCCGCGGCGTGGCGTGGCTAGCGAGGAGGAGGAGTGCACGTGTAGGTCTCTTCTTCTCATGCTCATACAAGTGGTAGAAGAACTCACCTTATAAAAAGATGCAACTCTCTCTCAACTTATGAGGTGGGACTAAACTTTAGCCTCACTCACTTCACTCACATATGTGCATGAATGGCCAAGAGAATTTCAGAATTTTAGTTGGGCTTTGGGCCAAGGCCTACTAACAAAATTCCAACAATACATGCATAGTTAGCCTATTAGTTGATAATTTATATGTTATTTGTATTAATTGGCGAACAGAGAACTAAAACCGCTAGTGAAAAATAATGGGTAAGAGTCTTCAATATTAACATTGTCCGGGAATATCATATAAACCATCGCTAATTAAACCCATTAATAGTCGCGCAAAGTGCGGTCGCTGGGCTATGCCACATCATTTTCCTCGGTGCGAGCAAAAAAAAGGAAAAAAGAAGACAACACAGCGGATCAACACGCCGTCTATTCCTTCATGGGGAGGCAACTCCCCTGCTGAGCCACCGCCTCCTCTCCCCTTCCCTCACAGCACCTTTTCTCCGCCGTCTTCCTTGCGCCTTTGACAGTCGTGCCCGGAGGAGGTCGTCACCGGCGCCCGCATCCTCGGCTCCCGCCGCCGATTTGCCCCGCAGTTAGCCCCCACCCTTCTCTTCTTCGTGCTCTCTTAGGCACTGATCAAGGTGTGATGCAGGACCTTCCCTTCTTCCCCTACTGCCGCTAGCGGCGACCCCAAGTGCGACCGTCGATTGGCGGGCGAGGAAGAGGACCGCGCCCAAATCGCCTCCATTGTGATTCGCGTCCACCTCCAACGACCGGCAGGACCCGTGATATGGCGACTCCCAGGGCGCTGCCGGAGGGTCCGACGAGGAAATCGACCCGAGGTAAGCCCCCAAATCATCACTTCTCCATCGATATCAAGGTTGGATTTGCTATCCACCTCACAAGGCAGCCTTGCATTAACTGAGAGCTCCATATTTGAAATCAGTAAAAATCTTTAGAGGTCCAGTGCTCCAACAACTCTATCATCCAATTTTCTGACCGGTACCAAGGTAAAGATTGCTGGTGGAGCAGATGGAGAGGACAGAGTCAAGCTGTGTGCTCTGAGAAAAATGGATGGTTGATTTGTGGAATTTATGATAGATTTAATGGACGTGATGCAGCTGATTTTCTAGCAGTAACTCTATATGATAACATAGTATATTACCTGTACTTGTTAGAGTGTCGTATCAAGCAACAAGATGTCCTATATAGCACATCAGAGGACTCCCTTAATGGGGTTAAAAGTTAATTCGCATTAGCCATGGAAATTGCAGAGAATGAAGATGTAAAACTTTCTGAAAGTTTTCGAGCTGGTGTGCTGAATTGCCTCACTTCTGCTGTTGAGCAAGCTGAGAATGATTTCTTATGCATGGTTGAACAAGATATGGATGATAGACCAGATTTAGTTTCAGTTTGATCTTGTGTCCTGGTTGTGCTTCTTCAGGGAACAGATTTGTGCATTCTAAATCTTGGGGATATATAGTAGGGTTGTGCTTGCTTCCACGCCATGAATACTCTGTTGCTGCTGTTACACATTACTCTTATGGTTATTGTTTGTTTTTCATGCCCATTGGTATTCCAAGAGTATCTGTTATTATATTCAAATTCATGCTCAAATAGAAAATATCACGGCAATGGAATTCTCCTTCTGGGTGTTTTGTATGCGCCCGAATTGCAGGACGACTTCTACCTCAACTTCGTGGATTGGTCTTCGAACAATGCCCTCTCGGTCGGATTGGGGAATTGCATCTATCGGTGGAATGCAACAGCAAGGTGTGTGCAACCAATGTTATCCGATTTCTATTTTGAAACTCTAAGAGGGATCCTAAACAAATTTTTAACTCCACATGGTCAACAAGCTTTGCGATTTGGGGGCGGACCACACTGTCAGGGCCGGCCCTAGCATCTTAGAGGCCCTTGTGCGAGTTTCATATAATGGGCCCTTATAATATACTCAATTTTTTTTCCAGTGAAGGACTTAGCACCGTTTCCAAATTCAACTAATTGATTTACAACTTACATCCTTTATTTTTCTCACAACCGATGATAATTGCTTTTTTGGATCTTTATGACAAACAAAAAAGGAGAGAGCACCTGAATTCCAAAATCTTGGTTTTGGAGTAAATTAGAAGAAATTCTATGCTCCATCCATCCAATAATCAAAATTCATGCAAGGACACAACCTGCATAATTTACATGACTGCAATTTGAACAAAAATAGAGCAATCAAGTAGGTTAAACATCAGCAATGGCTTATCATGAATTTTGATTATTACGTCAACTCATCATAACAGAAATAAACAGGCAAAGATCAAAGAATTGAGATCTAAAAATTAGCTGGAGGAGCAATGGCTTGATTGCTTCGCTTGAACAGTGCCTGGACTTCACGTCTGCATCGCCTGCCCTCAGACACTGACCACGGCTCTGTCGATGGACGGCCATGGTGTAGGTTGCTGCTCTCGCGTTCTTCCCAGGGGCCCAGGACAAGGATGTGTCACCGGCTGGCCAACGTCCGTCGGGGTCCTTTGGGGCAGCGAGGAACCAAAGAAATTCTGATTTTGGGGCAGTTTACAGGATGCGAGGAACCAAAGAAATTCATTGATTAACTTTGGGAATTGGGGCGCCTCTTAGGAATTTGGGGGCAATTAATTGGGAAAGAAGACGGAGAACGGAAACGAACGAGGGCGTGATTCAAGGAGCCAGCGAAGGAATCAGTTCGTGCGTGAATTTTTTCCTTGGTAATGGGCCAGACCTGTTTCTCTTGTGTAGTAGTCTATTTTTCTAGAGATATATGGGCCCCTGCTGAGGCTGGGCCCTAGGCCGTCGCACTCCTCGCCATGGCCCAGGGCCGGCCCTGCACACTGTTTGTTTAGTGAGTTGGGCGCAGCGTGGCACCCACCTATCTGTAGGGACTAACCAAGGCTCCGTTCAGGTTTTCATCTTGCTCCCGTCTGAAATTGATCAAATGGCATGTTCAGGGTCCATCAAAGTTTAGGATGATACTCCGGTTATTTTTACCCAAAGCTTCAACTCAAACAACAAATAGTACATAGTACGCTTGGTTGTGAGAATGTCACCCGGTTGATGCGATGTGAAGTATATATTGTAGAAGTAGAACAAGCAGAAATTTGATTCATCAACTTATATATGCAATATGAAGTATATATTGTAGAAGTAGAACAAGTAGAAATTTGATTCATCAACTTATATATGCTATACGAAGTATATATTGTAAAAGTAGAACAAGTGCTGCCATGTTGAATTTGTTATGAAATACAGGCTGAAATATATATTCCGTCGCTATCCTTTGAAATAATACCGACTTAGGAACTACATACTGAAATATATATTCGTCGCTATCTAGCTGAAGGTTCTATAATGTTTCGATTTCTAGCGCTTCAGATTCTGTGGTTCCTGTGAAACACAATGGTTGGAACGTTGTACCCTGTTCTGGGCGACGGCTTCGTGTTATATAGCAGGGTCGCGACTCCCTCATCGCGTACATGAGGTGGTTCAGATTATAACTTGTAGTGCAAGGGATAGACTAGGAGGTTACAGAGAGATAAGATCAAATCCTAACAACCTAGCTAGCTGTCGTACGCCAAGAGGTCAAGGCCTTCTTGTCATGTACGTTTCACACCCTCCCTTAATCACAAGTTTGCAAGTTGAGATTACGCCTGAATTCTTCAAAGTTCCTTGTAGGCAGCGCCTTTGTGAAGCCATCTGCAACCTGGTCTCTGGAATGCACAAAACGAATCTCCAATTG